CCAGAATGAAATTCCCAGTTCTGCTCAGCAACATGCTGGTAGTGAGATGGATATTATGTCCTGTATTGGATAGTAGATTCGCTGCCTTTAGAAGAAAAGTAGATGCACAGCATTTCCTTCTTTGCTGCAGGTTTCCTTTTAGCTATATATAACTGCCCCACGTGCTTTCCTGCTTTGGTCTGCAACCCATGATCTCCAATGCAGCCCAGTGAAAGTCCTAGTAGTTCCAGTTATGGGCCACATGTGTACCCACCTGTAATGGAAAGCTTGGTGACACATGGGACATGCGCCTAGCTTTTTTTTAACGATTCACCTCAGTGATCTTTTTTTTTTTTTGTACAGCAGCATGTCTGCCTTTTTTTTTTTTTTTTTTTAATTAACCTGGAATTTTTCTTGTCTGGTAATATTTAAGGTGCTAATTTCCTAAAAGGATCGTTTTCTGTTTGTTGAGGATGTATTTGTCGGATGTGAAAAAACGGCAGCAGTTGTTTTCTACAGATGTGTGATATTTGGACAGAGGGAATCTAACCTAAATATTTAAGTTCTAGAGCCAGTGATATGGACTTTAAGATGGTGTGAAATATTTGAAGAATTGTGCCATTCAGTAAATGCGTGGATGCCCGGCAGCTCACCTGTGACCCCACAGATATATTACATATAGTTTTGTTCTTTTACAGCCACAGACGAGAACCCTTCTCTGTTTATGTGAAATTATAGAAATCATTTGTTTTGTTCAGGAGGAAAACTAGGAATCATAGGGCCCCCCCCCAGCAGGGAAAATAAAACACCATTGTACAATACCCAAAATAGCATGACGGGTTACAAAGGACTAAAGCTGACACAGAGGTGATGAGGTAAATATTGATCTGTGGTGGGGAGGATGGGCTCAGCACAGTGTTTAGAATAGAGTGGTGTAGAATGGAAAATGTTGTCTGTGTGATACTGCAGATTGCATTGCATGGGGCGGTATAAAATATAAAACGTGCACTCCACTGCACAGAATGAGTCAGGGTGGGATATAAAATGCATGGAGGGATGCAGTGGGAAATTCAAAATGTCCATCAGAGGTTATATAATGAGGCCATATAGGAAAGGGAACATACACTATTGCATACAGAATAAGGCAACATACAGCGTGGCACACAGTATAAGTGAGGTGCAGAATATGGAATGAAGGGGTGCACATTAGGGAATGTACAGCATGGAACACAGAATGAGGCGTGCAGTAGGAAATGTATTTTATATCCGTGTAATGAGGCAGTACAGAATAGGGAATGTACAGCATGGCATACGGAATGAAGCTGTGCAGTATAGGGAATGTACAGCATGGCATATGGAATAAAGTGGTGCAGAATAGGGAATGTACAGCATGGCATACAGAATGAAGCTGTGCAGTATAGGCAATGTACAGCATGGCATACGGAATGAAGCTGTGCAGAATAGAGAATGTACAGCATGGCATACGGAATGAAGCTGTGCAGAATAGGGAATGTACAGCATGGCATGCGAAATGAAGCTGTGCAGAATAGGGAATGTACAGCATGGCATACGGAATAAAGTGGTGCAGAATAGGGAATGTACAGCATGGCATACAGAATGAAGCTGTGCAGTATAGGGAATGTACAGCATGGCATATGGAATAAAGTGGTGCAGAATAGGGAATGTACAGCATGGCATACAGAATGAAGCTGTGCAGTATAGGCAATGTACAGCATGGCATACGGAATGAAGCTGTGCAGAATAGGGAATGTACAGCATGGCATACAGAATGAAGCTGTGCAGTATAGGGAATGTACAGCATGGCATGCGGAATGAAATGATGCACAACAGTGAACGTATACCAATGTGACATAGTGATTACAGAATACATCAAAAATGGCTTGCTGGTGCATAGGCTGACCTCATCCAAACGTCCATCATTGAGACAGTTAATTGGAGACAGCAGGTAGGGGAACTACCACTGCCCACATGCTCAGTCTTTCACAGTTTTAGATGATCTCATCAGTCAGAGCCGCAGAGGAAATGAGTAATGGAGGCCTTCCTGTGCCGGCTTTAGTGTTTACAGGTGACAGTGGCAAGTTGGTGAGCTATCATAGCAGGTCTCATGCTGATGGATGCGTGCTGGAGGCACAATTTAAGCGATTATAGATATAACGGGCAGGTAAGGATTGATGGTCTTCCTTTCCCCCACCACCTCTCATCCCTGGGGCCTTATTGTCACTAGTGTTATAATTGTATAGTGTGAGTGATATTGTCCCCTCAGAAGGTTTCCCTTATCTATCTTCAATATTTGTATTTCATATTTGGTAAGGTATGCTAATTCCAATGACATTTGTGATGCCACTAAACCTTGTTCTACTGATTTTAGGTTTATTTAGTATGTGGAAGAGTGTGTGCAGTAGACAATAGCAGTCGATCACAATTCATCTCTATCTGAACAGACTCTTGTTGCTGACCACAGAGTTCCTATCCATTACTACACTTTTACATATACCTCTCATTTGAGGCTTGTCAAAAACAAAACTGAATCAAAACATTCGTAATATAATGCCAAGACAATCCATATCCCAAAGAATTTGTAGCAATGTTGTGAAGATTAATAGCATTTGTTAAACACATATACATAAAGAATACCAAAAAAAAATCTTTGTGTACAGCAATGTATTCCGCTCGCTCATGCCATTTTGAAGTTTATGTATCACTCATATTGGGGTACTGATGTGAAAATGTTTGGATCAATATCACAGCTGCCTGGGCTGATCAATGGAGCATAAAGGAGATTTGTAATGAAAGTTGGACTTGTCATAAGAATGTGTGACCCATGAGAAAGATTTGAGGACAATAATTTGCCTCCATCTCCGCTCCTCACCCTGTGCACCCTCCCTACCTCTCTTCACATACACAAAACCCCCTTTTCCCCCCCTTCTTTGTTTTGTCTTTAATAAGTTAATCGGATTAAAGGCTTACAGATTTCAAAGAAACTTTTCGGCCCCCTTAAGACAGGCCATCCTCTCCCCTTTTTCTAATCTTACACATCCCCCCCAAATATTGCTGAAGAGGCAAGTCCTCCCTTTATCTGGAGCTTCATAGTAAGTAAGGAATCTGAATCCACACAGCACGTGGAGATGATCTTTTCTTTGAACATCTCCCCTCTATGAAAGTGGAACAGGTCTCCAAGATATTTAAACATTTCTTGTGTAGGTCTACTTCTGTCCATTGTTGTGTTGTAAATCTGTCATTTAGCTACGATTCATCCATATTTTATTTCATAGCAACAGTTAAAGCTTAACTCCAGACACCTTAAACAAATGTGTATTTATTTATAGATAATTCAATGTACAATACAGCTAGTGTAAGTACCAGAATCTGGTATTGGGCTCTTCTCATCCTGTGCATAACAGCACTTAGACGTAGAGAGATAGGAGCACCAGAAACCAGGCAGCCTCTGTTGCATGCACATGTGCTTACAGGAGATAACGGAGTGCTGATGATTTATTAGTGTGTTGCCAAATCGGCAACCTGCAGGTTGGGAGGTCACCCCACTGAATATTCCTGAACTCGCAGAGAAATTGGTGTCACCCTCTTGGCTTGTGCCAAATAACACATTGCTGGAAAGCATTACAAATCTTTTGGCAGAAATAGCAGTTTTGCATTTGCATATCATACCTCTATATTTAGCTTTCATGTACAGTCTGTATAGAACAAATGTATTTTACCTGTATTAATCCCAGGGCATGTTATGCACTATGAGCACTGTTTATACTAATGGTAAATACTTGCCCAACCCAGTCTAATTTATATATACTTGGCTTTGGGTCACTGGCACTTCAGCTCTTAAGAAGCGGGTATCTCCCCCAAAACTTGTTAACTCTACTGGTTTGTCCTGGGTGTGTTTTTGATTTACATAACTAATTTCCACTTTGTACATGTGAATGGGTTTAACACTTTAAGTTTTTTGATTTTATTAAACACTATTACACAAGGAGAAGCTGCTGTCTTCTGTGTTTTTTGTATTTTTTTCCAGTTTCATTTATGTGCAAAGGAAAGCTGGCCAAAATAGGGGTCTATGATTGTTCCCGAACATATCATAAATTAAAGTACCCAGATTATACGTCTGCTGTTCAGTGCATGCCAGCAGTTTGTCCCCCTTACACAATGTCGGTAGGTTTTCAGGAAATATTACCCAATTTAAAACACTCTAAAAGCCTGGTGATCCTGCCAGTTACCCTCCTAGTTTTCTCACCATCACCCAGCATGGAAGCAGATCCATGCTAACATGATCAGTTCCCCTCCTTTTTATCATGTAACGAGATCTACTGGATTGTTGCTGGTACGCGGCATGCCTGTAGTCTAGTCAGCGCGTGACATCACAGGTTGACGCACCTCCCACCCCTGCTCAGTTGATTGACCGTGGTTCCTGGCAGGAGCTTCAGTGTCACAAGAGCATGGATTCCACAGGAAAGAAAAATCATTTGCCATTCTCCTCATATGTGCCTATTTGTCATCCAGCAGCGGATACCTGAATGTCTCCTATCTAACCAGGCCCTCACCCTGCAAAAGAAGTGTCAGAATGGAGGCCTGCTCCTCCTTGACTGCTGCATTAAAATCCAATAAAAAGGTACTTTGCTGCACTTTTAACCATTTTCAAGGAGTGTTTCACATATTCATAATTTAATAGCATCTAATAGTTTTCTTTTTAATCAGGAGGTTCACATGATTTAGCATTTGTCCAATGAAATCACAAGCACAACCAAGAAGTGGTCAGGGATACGGTATATTTTATATGGTCACATTGCGTTGGACAGCAGAGTGGAATTGATGAATCAAGCTGTGAAATTATAGTAAATCCATCTCATAACTTGTCTCACTGCTCCTGTGTGCTGTTTCATGCTTTGCTGTGGCTGCGGATTGATAAATCTTCAGAATGTTATAGTAATGTGCTAAATGCTATATTGCTGTATACAGTTTTTGATCTTTGGTTGTCTTAATATTTATTACAGATGCATCCACTGGGACTTTGCAACAACAACGATGAAGAAGATTTGTACGAGTATGGCTGGGTTGGGGTGGTGAAGCTGGAACAACCTGAAATGGATCCGAAGCCTTGTCTAACTGTCTTGGGAAAGGTAAGCAGTTTGCTTGACTTTTCAGAACAATGCCGCTGACATTTTAATCTGCATTATGACATTACACAGCATTCTGTGAATGCACAAGGGGAGAGGGGGCATACAAACTACACTATTCCTTCTGTGTATGAGAGCCCCAGCTCTATACACCCAATAACCAGAAGTATAGCAAGAGCTTTACTATTCCTTGAAAATAAAGATATCCAAAGACAGAGGAGCATAGGATATTCCACGGGGGAGGGGAACATTATATTCCTGGAGTTCTTTTTTAAGCTCCTAGACCCTTTTACAATTGTCACTTGAACTTTAGGCTTTGAGTGTCAAGACATTTCCCCCAAAATGCAATTTTTAAACAATTCTCCACTGATTCCTAGGTAAGATAAGATGAGCAGCACAGCTATAAAAGACTGATAATTTAAATTACTGCTAAACACCAAACTCCATTTTGCTGCTGGGTTAAATTATTGTTCTTTTGACATGTATGCACATAGAATGCCCACAGAGATACTTGAGTGAACTTGTGTTATGCCCAAACTATTTCTTTGCTGGATGTTCTGGGTTTTTTGATTTGACAACCGTTGGCTGGTTCATTCAGATAGCATATAATGGTACATTCAGATAGCATATAATGGTAATACGTTAAAGTGGCCACCCAGCAGCTGAACCACCTTTACTATATATATTAGGATGGCTCTATGCGGCCTAATATATACAGGTATTTTAAATAATGCAAACCTGTGTAGGTTTTAGCACCTGAGCCATTGTCCATTGTTGTAAGATGTTGTCTTATTGATGTGACCTCATTGCAACCTTTTGGATAGAAATCCTGCACTATGTATGGTTTTCAGCCAGGCACGTGATATTGACAAAATCGCTGCTGTTATCTTATCAATGCATTGCATCACTGCTCTTTCAGGTTTGCATTGGCCTGTATCTTTATGTAAGATAGTTACATAGTATTTGAGGTTGAATAAAGACATATGTCCATCAAGTCCAACCTATTTGTGTATGGTCCTATTGGTGTGTAGTATGTATAGGTCCCTGTGTGTTCTCAATCTTAAGAGTACTTGTACCCCTGTATATTACGGTTCCTGAGGAAATCGTCCAGTCGCCTCTTGAATGATTCCACACTCAGACGAAATCACAGCATGTGGCAGCGAGTTCCAGACCTTGACCGATCTAACTGAGAAGAAACCCGTTCGCCCCTTACGCTGAAATTTTTTCTCCACCAATTTTAAGTGGTGGCCTCTTGTCCTTGTCATGGAGCTAATTGTAAAAAGTTTGCTGCTAATGTTACTATCCCCGGTAAACATTTTATACATGAAAATCATGTCCCCCTTAATCTCCTCACTTCCAAGGAGAACATGTTTAATTTTAGTAGCCTGTACTCATGACTCAGGTCCTCCATCCCCTTTTATGAGTTTGGTCACCCACCTCTGGACTCTTTACACTTCAAGGACATCCCCACTGTTCACTGGTGCCCAAAACTGGACCGCGTACTCTAGATGAGGCTGAACCAGTGATCTATAAAGTGGCACAATTATAGACTTGTCCCTGCAAAACATTCCCCACTTAATACAGGAAAGGACTCTACTTGCTTTGTTTACCGCAGCCTGACACTGCAAGCTATTCAGCCTGTGGTCTACAATGACCCCCAAATCTGTTTCCCTTTCGGACTTTCCGAGGAGATGCCTCTCTTCAAATGATTAGTCCACAGTATGAAAGTTAGTCTTCTCACCTAGTCTTCAAGAAAAGCTTAGGGTGGATATAATCCTTTACTGATTATATGTTCTTCAAGCAGACTATGGTCTAGGTACAGTAGGGGTGGGCAAATGATTATAGAGTTCAGGAGCCAGCAAGACCTTTTTTTTTTTTTTTAAGGAGCCAACTCTATTAACAACCAGAGAAAACCTCAAAGTTAGGCGCCAACTGTAATTTTTTAAGGAGCATTGGCTACCTGGCTCCTGGGATTTGTTCAGCCCTTATGTAGAGAAATATCAAAGCACTGTAATTGTATCTAGGTTCGTCATAGCCATTTTCAAAGGCAACATTTTGCCATTTTCCTTAGCTGCTTGATGTATTGTTTTTGGTTCAAGCATGCTGAAGTCTTCTATGTCTTCTTTTTCATCAAGTATGAAAGTGTTGATTGTATCAGGGGCCATTATTTTTGAGATCTTCATGTTCAAGTGCAAACCTATTTGAGACTAAATTCTTCTAACCTGACAGGCAGGTGCCTGTATTGCCACACAGATAGTTTCCCGCATGTTTGGAAGTCCCTGCATTACCCATTTGCTCATGGACTACTGCCACAGAATGAGAATAGTCTTTTACACTGACTGCCACTCCTTTTTAGATCAGTTAAGGTGAGGGTTGTGGCAGGTCCCAGAGGTGCTCATTACTAATGAGTATAGACCAACCTCTAATATTTCTGTCACTGTTGAGATAATTGCATTCTAACATTATTATTATTGCTATTACAGTTATTGATATTGCGCCAACAATCTATGCAGCACTTTACATACTGCATATTTGCATCAGTTTCTGCTCTCAAGGAGCTTACAATCTAAGGTCCCTATCTCACACACGTACACTAGAGATGGTTAAGACAGGAGCTAATGAACCTACCAGCATATCTTTGGAGCCTTACTTAGAAAGTATAATAACGTTAACAATGTTTGGTGCACAGGGCATCACTGGGGCTGCTGGAGGAGCCTGAGGGCTAGCCTCCTTCCTACTGACTATGGACCTAGAACTATGGAGACCCCCCTCAGACCTCTTGGGGTTACATGGAACTATTACCTTAGGTTTATGTGTGGAGTGAAAATACTGCTAGTTTCCCCTGACTTTACATTTAAGTGACCCTGTGTTCATTAAAGGCAGCAGGCTGTCTGGAGGGACCATTGTTTAGAGTGATGGGATCAAGCTCTTATCTAATTAAGGACTTCCAATGCGGCACCTGGCTGTCTAGGGGAGGGAACACACTGCACTCCTATCTGATTCTGTGAGGTATAAACTCTGTGTGCTTTCTTCAATAAAGCAGTTCTTGGTTTCTACTTCAACATTGGTGTTGTCTGATGTTTAAGGAGTTTAGCTTTCTGTCCTAATATATTGGTTCTATCCAATAATTAGGCAGGTTTGGGTTGAGGACACTGGAATTCAGGTTCCAGCAGGGAGGAAGCTGATTTCTGATGGAGGTCCCAGTCGGGGTACCAGGCGGTCAGTCACAGAATCGATCAAAAAAAAAAATCATGATATTCAGGGTTTAAAGATAATGAGACTACTAGCAACTGTAATTACGTGAAAATAACTTGGTGAGAGAAAGCAGTGTTTATATCGGTAGTATTTCTTGTATAGTAATAATGATGTAAGGTCCTTATGTATTCCTCCAGTATAAAAACTGTTTAGAGGCATCAAACAAAAAATCAAATACATGCATTTTCCCTTTTTATTGTCCTGTTTACAAAGCATTTTACTGGCTTATAGGTAACATTGTATAATTGGTGCACTTTCGTTCCAAGGGTCTTATGTGTATGTGTTAATTTTAAGTATCTGCACACATCACATTTTGTGCTTACACTTACTCTGTTTTCTATGTGTGTAATTACTTTGGTGTTGGCTTTTTTTTTGGCAGCAAAGAGCATATTTATTTTTGGCCTCTGCACTCCTTTAATCAATTTGATCTGATTTTCAGGTCTTTTCCTGTTGGCTTTTAAAGGAACTTTTGCCAAAACGAGATATTGGACTGGTTTCTTGTTCAGTGCTGTAACACTTTGTATGTTGTCTTTGTGTCCAAACACATAAATTTGGGTTAGAAGCTTTAACTCTTTGCACAATTTCAACATATTATATATGATGCTAACATATTTGTAGCTCATTGAAAGGGGCTTAAACCAACATCTGCTAAAGTGCAAAATACTTTGTGTTAACGGAATGACCATATGTAAGGGTAGCCTCCATTGTAGACTAGATGTGCCAACATACGTAGAGCACGGTGGAAGCACGGTAATGCTGTGTGCACACTTCAAGAAGTCAGGGTTGTCATCCTGTTACGGGACGTGGACAGAGCACAATTAAAAAATGAATTTCATGTAGCAAAGCAAGCCAGCACAGAAAAAAAAACACCAACACAGAAATCCGTATATGTCAAGGTACAATACAAGGGTTTAGGTACACCTTACTGAGTCATAGTGGTATATGTACATTAAAAATTACAATTTACAAAGCAGGTTCCTGTAGCTAAATGGTGTTTTAAAGGGTAAGGGTTCACTGCTGCATGGAATTGAGTTTTGTGTAAATGCTAGTTTGTTGTCTCAAATGCTCAGAAACAGGACGTTGCATAAGACGCAGTTCTTTCTGCCACATGACAGGTACTAGTAGCTAGACACATTTTAGACATTGGAGGGGAAGCCTAGTCCGTGGGGGAGGGGTTCGTTTTTTTTTTTTAGGAATAGGTTTGCTCTACTTTATTAACATAAACATGAACCGCTTATTCCTTTTTAAACAAGATTTGGCCAGGCTTGTTTAACCATATGCACTTTGGGCCATATTGTAAAGGTACACAGTCACTGGATTTGAAGTAGGAAATGTATCGATACTTTTAATGTTTCGTTTCCTGCGTGAGCCACAGTGTCTTAGTTTTCTTGCAGTAGATGTATAAACTGGCTTTGACACTACTAGGAGCCAGTTCCTTTTAACGTTCCATATGTGTAGTTTGGTGGAACAGAGTTTCCTTCAGTGGGACCCCCCAAATATGTCTGTAATAGAATGGGGGCTTCATGAACTGCAAGTTTGACATGTATAGGAAATATGACCTGATGTTTCATATGTTGTATACTTCTACCTGCCTCTATGTTGAGTTGAAGTTTTGAACTTTTTTGATATTGAATAGAGTTAGAAGGGTAAACCTCGTCTGGTCTGTTGGGGCGATTTATTTCCTGTTAAGTCACTGGGATAGGAATTAAGGGGAATCTACTCAACAGGCACACATAAGCATTTCAATT